GGGAGCACGGACTACTCTCATTGTCCTCTGTGATGGTCCTCTTTCCCCATAATCTATGCATAACCCATGAATGACCAAATCAGGCGAAGACAGAAGCACAGACCCATGAAAAGCAAATCAAGTCAGATGAACAGAATGGCCTGTAATAGAAACGCCCAATTCGTAGGAAAAACTTAGGTTTCAGGAGTCATTTCATTGGGATTTTGGTAACGCCTTTGATGCCGGCTATAAAATTGAGGTGCATGATAAATTCAGGTTCACTGGGGAAAGCACACGAGGACCAGTGCACCCCCAATGGAGAAGGGGACATAGTCACAGTGAAAAGAGGGGTCTACATACATACGCAGGGGTGTGGTTGTATCTGGTTGTGTTCAATTGTCCCTTTATGTGCTATAGGCTGAACTGTCTCCTCCTACTTCACGTGTTGAAGTCCTAGCCCCCAGAACCTCAGAATGTGGCTGTATTTGGAGATAAGGTCCTCAAAGAGGGGATGAAGGTACAGTGAGGTCATCAGGGTGGGTCCTGATCCCATAGGACAGGTTTCCTTATAAAAACAGGAGATTAGGACACAAACCAGCAGAGAGGGACGACCCTGTGAGGACACACGGAGGGGAGGCCGTCTAAAAGCCTAGGAGAGAGGCCTCAGGAGGGACCAGCCCTGCTGACCCTTGGATCTCAGATTCCTGCCTCCAGGACTGGGAGAGATACATGCCTGCTGTTTATAAGCGCCCCCAGTCTGGGGCATTTTACGGCAGCCCGAGCAAACAGATACATCACGATTTTACAAACGCCTTTAAAAATTATAGCAGTCAGCACACCTGCAGGTCCCATGTAGCAATTTGTGGAATACACCAGCAAACTCCATTTTAGGGTCAATAAAAAACAAAGTGCGATTTAACTGTGAAAAATTGAGTTATGGGATAAAGTTTTAAAGCCCCGTGAAGACACGATAGAATACATTTGCACAGGTACATGCCCTGCAAGCAATCCCATGCTAAGGTCACATTTTTGTGATTTCTATTTGAATCAAAAACATTCGTATCTTTTGGCCCCAAAATGTCCATACGAATGCTCACAGCTTGCAACATCACTAACCGAACACCACATGGCAACCTCGGTGGGAAAGGACGACGCAAAACCAGCCGTGACCTATAACCAGGAGGTGAGAATAAGCACGGTGGCATCCACAACCAGCTGTATACAATCACCACACTGACATCCAGAACCGACTGTATACAATACCCATGATGCCCCTTCCTGAAATTGTGGGAACTGCAGTTGAGATGGGCTGGGAGCTGGGACCCTTTGCTGCAGGGCTTGCACCTGGACACACCTCTCCTCCAGCAGCAAAATACAAAGAAACTATAAGGGACTAAAAATAACCACACACAGCTGTGGGAAATTACAAACAATAAGATACAAAAAGACCAAACCCCAACTGCCATTTCTGAGGTGTTGGAGCAAAAGCAGGGTCCTGCGCATGATTCCTGCGCACGGCACCACCGAGGGGTGGGCAGACCCCCTAAGCCATCCCTCCATCCCAACCCACCCAATTACTCCCACCCTCAGCGCATTAAGGAACCAGCTCAGGGAATGAGCAAAGCACCTGTTACTTGTTTTCTCTCCCTCCCGCTGCAGGGCAAGTCCCAATACAGCCTCGCCTGAATTCCTCATCTGGCTTCTAATCAATTTCTATTGATTAGAGAGACCAAGGACCCAGGCGGGGAACACAGTGACCTGCTTCCCTGAGGGCACAGCTGAAGGTCAGGACCGTTGCCAGCTACCTCTGCAGCCGAGTTCTCATAAAGTAAAGAATCACCATCTTTCCTGAAGACTCTCGGAAGACGCTCATTTGGCTTGTGTACTGTATGTTACTAACATGATGTGTAAACAACCGTTTACTCCTACGCGGAAACCACCGATGCCTGAAGAGTGGGCGTTATATTTACTTGCAAGAAACAAACTTATGCACACAATTTCGGATGACTCATGAGGCTTGAGAGTCCCTGTCATGAGCCCATGATGGCAGAATGAAATCATCTTGTATTTTTTAAACCTTTTTTTTTGGCCGTGGCTTGCAGGATCTTAGTTCCCCGACCAGGGATCAAACCCGTGCCCTCTGCAGTGGAAGCGTGTAGTCCTAACCACTGGACCGCCGGACAAGTTCCCCCTTAAACCTATTTCTTGAACAAGGAGCTCTGCAGGTGGAGAGCGGAGAACTGACCTTTGGCCAAGAGAAACCCACAACCCTTTTATACCCAGGGAAGAATAAAGAGTATCCTTATCGTGGACATGCAGAACTCTGTGGAATGTTTCCTATCGACCTCAGTCAGCATCCTTGCTAACTCTGAGGGACGCTCCAGGCCCAGTAAACGAAGTGGCCTTGTGTCGCAGAGGGAGCCCAACCCTGAAGAAGGGTTTGTTACGTGGGGTCTACAAACCCTGCCTGGTGGGTTTGATGATTTCTTCCCTTCCTAGTTCCTTCTGATCAGTTGTATCTCTTATAAAACAAAACATAAGTGTGTTCCACTGTAACAAACCCTTCTGTATCATATTATAGCTCCCTTAGCCTATGTCATATTAACTGTGTAACTTATTCCCATCTTGATTTTAAAATCTCGCTAAATAAAACTATCACTTTTGTTGTCGTGCCAGGCAAAAAAGGAGTGATGTTTTGGTTAATAATTGGGCAAATAGGGGGAGGATTCAGCTGGCCACTCTGGGGAACATTGTAATGGTGATTAACGCTTTTTCTGTAGCAGGGAAATGTTGAACTCATGAGGCGTTTTTAAGCCAAAAGCCATTTCATCTCTGCTGTCAAAGCGTACTGGACACAGGAGTGGCATTTACCTGAACAGAAATGAGGGGCAGCTAATCCGCCCCTCCATGTTTCCACCCATGAAACACAAGAACAGAAGTCAGGGAAAACAAAGACGCAGCCATGGAAGGAGAAAGACCCTGACGTGAGGCAGGGGATACAACTGCAGAAGGAAACAAATCAAAGATGAAACGGAGGGACTCCAGGGTACAGATTAAAAAAAAAAAAGACGGGGGGTGGTGGGAGCTGACAAAAAGGAACAGAGACCAGTCTCTACGAAGAAAAAACGGGAAAAAAAATTAAACTCTACTGATACAAAAAAAAAAGTCCCCTTTTTCTTCATGGGATAAAAGATACCTTCTCTCTGGGAGCATTGGGTGGGGAAGCAGCTAATGTTTCCCGAGTATGAGAACATGAATATTCAACTTATGGACGCTGTGACAGACCTGGGGATGGACCCCTCCCCCCCAGGTCCCCGGCCTCTTGTTTCTAAGAAAAGTTTTAGCCCCCTAGGCCTTCCCGGATCTCTAGAGAGCAAATTTAATCAGAGAAGTGAGAAAATATACAAACAAAGGAACACAGTTAATCAAGACAAAAATAGTAATAGTTTAGCCATTAAACACAGTCAAGGACTTTCAGTTCCTCCCTAAGGGCTACAGATCAGGTTCCGAGCCTCCTCCTTTGCATTGTTTTGCAGAGACTGAAAGCCCCGCCAGGTGGGAGAAGTTACCTGCACGCCGCCCACCAGCACGGAGACCCCAGGTGGTTGCAATCAGAAGGTTGACGACGCGGACGCCTGGTCCCCCACCAACCAAGCCGAAGAAGGTCCACGAGCTGACCTTGCACCCGAAACCCTCTCCCTCACCCTGGTTTAAAATCCTTTCCCTGAAGGCCTTCGGGGAGTTCGCGTCTTCAGCGCGAGCCGCCCTTCCCTAGACTTGGCCGCACGTGGGGCGTCCTGCAGATAAACGCTGCTCTTTCCTTTACCACAACCCGGGGTCAGGAGCTGGGCTTTGCTGAGCACGGGACTCGGGTTCGCTTTGACGCGGCTAGCGAACAGGCTTGGGTAGCTGGGCATCCTCTGATTTCCCCGTGTACCCCAGTGGGGCACAGACCCTGCCCTCAGGGGACCTACACAGAAGCCACGTGAACATAAAACACGAAACGCGGTAGAGTCTTCTCCGTGTTAAATGCATCTGCAGAGAAGGTCTGGGGTGACCAGATTTGGTCTCGGAGAAACTGAGTCATGGAGCATCGTCTATTAGTTATTTGCTGGGTAACACAGCCGGGGGGCTGAGGCTCTGATGGGGAATTTGAAGCATGAAAGAGAAGAGCAGTGCCTTGCTTCAAAGCCAGATTTTCACCAGAAAAATCAACCAGAATGGATTTTCGGCGGGGGGAGGGTCAGGAAGGGCAGATGGGACCAGTCGTTTGGGAAATGTTTAACACACGCAGCCAAAGGCCCCATATAACATTATGATACAGGCACCAGGGAAGTGTGAAGTCCAGCTGCTCTACTGGGATTATACACTCACTGTCTTGGGAAAGCTTCAGGTCTTAATCAGTTACCTTTAGGTTTCTAAAAGCTACAGGGTTTTCTAATTGAACTATAGTTGCTGTATAGTCTATTAGCTTCAGGTGAACTCGATTCAGTATTTTTTTATACATTTCCAAAAACAGCACAAATGGCAAAGTCAGCTAAAAACATCACAATTTCCCCTCAAACTGACACATCGAAAGACATACGATTTCAGTAATTAGAAAAATGCATCTTCATTTCCAGATGGTATTTAGCCTGGATTCCCCACCTTGCTTTGACAATGGTCCAACTCATTAAGAATTCAGCCCATTTCTCTCCCACAGCTGGCAGACCAAGTCCATGGGTGACCACAGCCTGGGCTGGATGGAAAAGATGGGGCACAAAACAAAGATGGGCAGGTGGGTGCAGGAGGCTTTGGGGTGTCATATTCCATCCAGCTCCACCACATGCAAGTTTGGCGACAATTCGTGGAGACTGCTGTTGGAGTCTTAATTGTTCTTTCTTTTCCCCCGAGTGACCCTATTTGAACTAGGGAGAGTGTAAGCTTCCCTCCGTGAGGCTGAACGGGATTGAACGTGCCTCTGTGGAAAGCACGTGGAAATCCAGCCCAGGCTGCACACCTACAGGCACCCGCACTCTTACCTTTGCATCCCACTGACGGTACAGGATCCTACTCAACCGCATCGTGAAAAATGGCGCCAGCGCCTCGTCATCCCTCCTGGACACACGTCTCAGACCTCTCACCCGGCCGGTGGGGCTGGTGGTGGGCACACTGACCGAGATGCAGTATCTTTAGGTGACTCAGCATGTGATAAGCGCCCCCAACACTTGTCACCGAGCAAAGGCTCACCGCCCGACGTGCATAGAAGCCAATGAGATGGCACATGCTTTCCCAGAAGACGAAGAGCTTTACTGTCAGGTCAACAAGCAGGAGGCTGGGCTCGCAAATGCATCTCCACGATTCAGCGTCTCGAGTGAACTTTAAGGGGTTAGGGAGTTTCAAGCTTGGAAGCCGATTGGCTCGTCTCCAATCAGGCCATATGAACTACTCGTGCAGCTGGAGGCCAGATGTTCCTTATTGAAGAACTTCTCGCTTCGTAAAGGGCTCGAGTGGTAACATTTCTAGTCCTTAAGTTCTGTAGACTGAAGATCCTTGGTTCCGAGGTCACCCTAGAAACATGGGTTCCCGTCTTGAACACTTACAGTGCTGTCTCCATTAAATAACTCGGGGATTGCTGAATCAACGACCTATTAAATGAGGTGAAACCAGGTGAAGCTGGTGCTGTTTCAGCTTGATTAATAAACAACCTATTTAAGGAGGCAAAGCCAGTTTCAGCTGGCCCATGATTTCCGTGCCGTTGCAAACTGACTCCTGAAACCAAGTCTGATGTGTCACGGGACAGGCAAAGAAAGTCATCTTCCTTTTTTTTATTCTCGGTACGCGGGCGTCTCACTGTTGTGGCCCCTCCCGTTGCGGAGCACAGGCTCCGGACGCGCAGGCTCCGCGGCCATGGCTCACGGGCCCAGCTTCTCCGCAGCATGTGGGATCCCCCCGGACCGGGGCACGAACCCCCGTCCCCCACATCGGCAGGCGGACTCCCAACCACTGCGCCACCGGGGAAACCCTCATCTTACTTTTTTCAACATTGTGCTTGAATATCGGGCATAGTGCACGTGCAAACCGTTCTTGAATTCTTTCCTTTTTCCAGAAATGAGACCCAGGCTCTTGTTAACCCAGAGAGGTGATGACGAAATTGCAAATAATCTCAGTGTTTTCCCTGAGCGCCTCTCTGTGGGACCAGAGATAGTATCATTGGAGGAACTTCTTAAAAATACTGTCGACCTGATATCTACCCAGGTCACTCTCAGAGGACGGGGCCCAGGAATGTGTGTTTTTATGGGCTGTCTGGACTGAACTGGATGCACAGCCAGGTTGAGGAAGCACTTGTTGATTAGGGAGGGCAGAAGATCTGGGTATAAAAGCCCACTCCCTTATTCACCATCACAGGCGCCCCAGAGTTCCCACGGTTGATCAAGTGGGATATTAACAGGGCCTTTCTCTCAGCATGTGCAGAGAACTGAGTGAGAAGACAGATCTGAAAGCCCCTGATCCCCTGCCTCCCGCTAACAAACCAGAGCCTGCTCTGTAGATGGAAGGTCATCGGAGGACGATGGAGGGTAAGCACTTCAGACCAGTGAGTCTAAACAGCCAACATCGAAGATCATACACGGTGTGTCTGGGAGAGCAATGCAGTGGATTCCCCCAGAGAACACAGAGAAATGGCGAGCACTCACTGGATGTCGTTCACTTAACATTACTGCCCTGAACACGGACGCGGCCAAGCCATGCAGTTTGATGAGCCACTGAGTGCGTACACCCGTATTAGTCTCCCCATCACACATGACCACACACCACATGGCTGAAACCAACAGAAAAATATATTCTCTCAGTTCTGGAGACCAGACGTCTCAGATCAAGGTGTGGGCAGGGCTGGTTCCTTCCAGAGGCTCCAGGGGAGAATCTGTTCCAGGTTTCTCTCCAGAATCTGGGGGCTGCTGGCCTTCCTTGATGGTCCTTGGCTTGTAGACACGTCTCTCCAATCTCTGCTCCATTGTCACATGGCTTCTCCTCTCTGTGTCTTCTCTTCTTATAAGGACACCGGTTATACCTGATTAAAGACCCACCCTCAGAAGCAACCTAAATGTCCATCAACAGAGGAATGGATGAAGATGTGGTGCATATATACAATGGAAAACTACTCAGCCCTTAAAAAGAGTGAAATAATGCCATTTGCAGCCACATGGATGGACCTTGAGGGTATTATGCTAAGTGAAATAAGTCAGAGAGAGAAAGACAAATGCTGTATGATCTCACTTATATGTGGAATCTAAAAAATACAACCAAGTAGTGAATACTGTATAACAAAACAGAAGCAGGCTCACAGATACAGAGAACAAACGAGTGGTTTCCAGTGAGGGGGTAGGCGCAAGATAGGGGTAGGTTATTAAGAGGTACAGACTACTATGTATAAATAAGCTACAGGAACATATTGCCCCAAATGGCATTATTTCATTCTTTTTCATGGCTGAGTCATATTCCATTGTATATATGAACCACATCTTGTTTATCCATTCCTCTGTTGATGGACATTTAGGTGGCTATTGTACATAGTGCTGCTATGAACTTTGGAGTGCATGAATCTTTCCGAATTAATTTTGTCTGGATATGTGCCCAGGAGTGGGATTACTGGATCATATGGTAGCTCTATTTTTAGTTTTTTAAGGAACCTCCATCCTGTTCTCCATAGTGGCTGCAGCAACTTACATTCCCTCCGACAGTGCAGGAGGGTTCCCATTTCTCCACACCACCCCCAACATCTGTTATCTGTGTTCTTTTTAATGACGGCCTCCTGACCGCTGTGAGGTGATGTCTCACTGTGCTTTTGATCTGCATTTCCCTCATGATTAGCCACGCTGCACACCTTTTCCTGTACCTGTTGGCTGGCTCGGAGAACCAATTCTAAAGCTTTTTCCTAGGGCCGGTTTAGCAATAAGCCAGGATACTCTGCTCCACGTGGCATCTTCTAACCAAGAAGCCAAAAAAGGTGTTCCACGAGAAGAGCAGCTGGTTCAGCTCACAACTTAGTATCCGCACATGCACTCTGCTTCACAGGAACTATATTTTGTTAATGTAGCAGAAGTGCTTTATTTCTAAAAATTATTTAATTCTATAGCTTTTTAAAAATTATTTAATCCATTGGCTTTTAGAAAGTGTTTTAATTTTTAAATTTAGTGTATTTTTTGCTATCCTTTCTGGTTTTCTTCATTGAGATATAATTCCCATACGGTAACATTCACCCTTCTAAGCGTGCAATCCAGTGGCTTTGGGTGTATGTCTGAGGTTGGCTTTAGTGTATTTTTTGCTATCCTTTCTGGTTTTCTTCATTGAGATATAATTCCCATACGGTAACATTCACCCTTCTAAGCGTGCAATTCAGTGGCTTTGGGTGTATGTATGAGGTTGGCTTTAGCATATTCACAGAGTTGAGCGACCATTACCACAGTTTCTTTTTTTAACATTTTTCCATCGCCACAAAAAGAAACATCTCACCCCTTCTCTGTCACTCTCCACCCCCCTCCCCCAGCCCCTGGCATCCACGAATCTCCCTTCTGGCTCTGTGGACTTGCCTGTCCTGTATCTTTTCTGTAAATGGAATCACACACTGTATGTCCTTCTGTGTCTACTCTGTCAGTGAGCATCACGTGTTCAAGGTCCATCCACATTGTAGCCTGCGTCAGAACTTCACTCCTTGTCCTGGCTGAGTCATGTTCCACTGTGTGCATGGACCCCATTCTGTCTATCCATCCATCCCTCCATCCATCCATCCCACCATCCACAGATACTTGGGTTGTTTGTACTTTCTGGCTGTTGTGATTAGTGCTGCTACGAACATCCATGTACAAAATTTTGCATGGAGATATACATTATATATATGTCTTTGTTTCTCCTGGGTATATTCACCAATGTATACACCCAGGAGTGGAGTGGCTAGGTTATACAGAAGTTCTACTTTTAACATGTTGTGGAGCTGCCAGACTGTTTTCCAAAGTGTCTGTGCCCTTTTCCATCCCCGCCAGCCATGCAGCAGAGTTCTGATTTCCATCCACATCCTTGTCAACACTTGTTATTACCTGACTTTGATTTTAGCCATCTGACTGGGTGTGAAGTGATATTTCACTGTCATTTTGGTTTGTATTTCTCTAATGACTAATGTCACTGAGCATTTTTCTTAAGTGCTTATTGGCCTTTGTGTATCTTCTTTGGAGCAATATCTCTTCCGATCTTCTTCTAAGTCCTCTTATAAAGGACTTATATGAGTCCTTTATATATTCTAGATACATGTCCTTTATCAAATATATGATTTCCAAAATATTACTTTATTTTTAAGCAAGTTTACCAAATTGAATGGGGAACTCTTTAATTTAAAATATAAAAACAAGAAGTTTTTACTTTGTTTTGTTTTGTTTTACCTTCTAGGAAGGTAAGGAGATAAATAGAACTATGTTGAAGGGACTTGTTCTGAATAGAAAGCAGTGGAAAATTAAGAAAATTCATCATAAGATCTTAACCTCCTCCAGCTGTTTCTTCCATTCACAAATTTTCGTGGGTTTGTATTTTTCTGTGCCTGCTCTCCCTGTAATCTGATTTTTATTGCAGTAAACAGAAAGTGATGTATATTGCAATGCTGACCATCTCTGGTAAAATATTATGGGTAGATATAATAAACCTATTACTCTTCCTTTCAAATGGTTTCTTGAGGCATTAAATCTGCTTTCCAAGCCTTTTAAAAGTCCTAATGAATCTGCCAAACACTCTGATGACTTTATGCCATATTCATAAAGTTTATGAACTGCATTCCTGGGCAATAAACAAAGTAACGGGAAGACTCCTGCGCTGGATCCATATTTTGCAATCATAATATATGAAGGTGCTCGGTGGGCTACGAGGAACACAGTGTTCTGTACTTGGCAGAAAACACTCTGGTCAAACTGAACCCATACCCCACAAGGTCAAGCACCATCATCTTCAGACGTTTGCATGGGGCCGGGACCATGCCTGGCACTATGATTCCTCTGTAAAAAAATGAGGGGCAGCCGTTTTCCTGCTACATTTTGCATCTGACCTTTCCTGTCTCACTGTTATGTCTTCCGATGATGGGATGGATTTTCAGATATCCTTGGGTCATCCAGTTTCATTCCACAAACATTTCCTGTGCCCTCATCCACTAAGATGTTTCTAAGGAACATGCAACTTGCCTTCCTCATTGGGAGATCCATCAAGCAGCCAACCTTTAGTCTTGAGCAGTATCCAATGACCTCATGACCAGTGGCAACTAATCAGGACACAGAGGGATGAATGAGTGACATGCTGGTAACAGGCGTGAGCTACTGGACAACGGATTATATCAAGGACTTTTAATTTTTTAACCGAAGTACAGTTGATATACAATATTGTATTAGTTGCAGGTGTACAGCAAAGTGATTCTGTTATATATATATTATATATTCAGCTATACATATATATATTCTTTTCCAGATTCTCTTCCCTCATAGGTTATTATCGAGGACCTTTTACACCCCTAGTATCGCCCTTTGTAGATTCTGTCTCTATTTTGCCTGGCAATGACAGCTCCTGTGTTTCCAGGATCTGCCCACAGTGACGCCGTAAAGATCCGCGCTGCTCTTGGCAGAATGCAGAGCAGTCTGGGCGATTTACCAGGAATTTGTTCCCTCTTGGAAGGAAACCACTTTTAGTCGGTTAACAACGCCACTGATCTTTTGGAATCTTGCTCGTCCCTCCTCTGCAGAGGTCCCTCCCCCACTTCTGAGACCATCACCCTCTGGAAAGGCAGGGTGTGAACTGCCAACCCTAAAAGGGCTTCCATTCCTTATT